GACTGGTCCTTGGAGAAAAATTTCATGCTCAGAAGGGTGGAGGGACAGTACAAGAGAGGAAGATCCGGAGTGAGATGGATTGATACAGTAACTGGGGAAACTGGAGTAGGTGTGTAAGAGTCAGTGAAACTGGCTCAGGTTAGGGAAGGCTTCAGAGTTGTTTTACATAGGGTCGCCATGAGTCATGGGCAACTTGATGACACATAACAACTCCCCAAATATGGTCTGTGAGCCATCACATCAGATTTTTCTCCCAGCCAAGCAGTAAGATGGGTGTTGAGATGAATAGTAGGAGGCATGGAAGTGTGAGGGACATGTCTGACTTCATGGAAATTGGTTTTGTGTTACTGATGTTGTCGGCCTGATAATGGTGGTCCCCACATGTCCCTTGCTCTTTTTACAATAGCTCTGAACCCTGTCATATCCTTTCACTGTCTCTGACATACCTACCTGCATGGCCCCAGTTACTCTGTCAATCCAACTCTTGCAGGATCTTCTTCTATTGCACTGTCCCTCCATCCCTCCAAGCATGATGTCCTTCTCCAAAGACTTGTTCCTCCTGGCAACATGTCCAAAGTATGTTGGACAAAGTATGACAAAGATGGAGCTTCAAAATCCTTACCACCAAGGAGCAACTTAGTTTCACCCTCTCCAAGAGAAACCTATTTTTGTCTCTTGGAATTCCATGTTATGTTCAATATTTTTCTACAGCACCTCAGTTCAAAGGCATTGATTGTTCTTCTGCAATCCTTAATCACTGCCAGCTCTCTGATACAGAGCAAGCAACTGTGAAGCCCATGGCCTGGATCATGACCTTAGTCCCTAGAAAGACATCATTACTTTACCACTATCATACAATTATATGTACCAACAACCAGAGCCTAATAAGAGGAAACAGATTCTTTCTACCAACTTTTTCAGTTGAAAATCGATGGAACATGCAACAAAGATCCCTGAAAAAAAGAAATTCAGTGGTGAGTATGAGGGCTAGTAACAAAAGAGTCATGCTTGATGTTTTGTCCTTCATGTGTTTTAATATCATATAAAAATTAAAGATAAAATTATACTACAGGGTAAATTTCTTTACGTTACTTATGATAACATTATGATTTACTTTACATTACTTATGATAGACCTCTCTCGGGTCACCTTTCTTTCGAAAGGTAACAAATACGTATATCTTCCAGTCAGTTGGCCAGGTGGTTGTTCTCCAGATTTCTTGCCACAGTTGGGAGAGTGCATGCATCCAGGGCAGCGTCTGTGCACTTAAATATGTCAATCGGTATGCCATCAATTCCTGGGGCCTTATTTTTTGTCAACTCCTCCAGAGCACCTTGAACTTCTCCCTCCATCACTACAGGCTCTTGCATACATTGTTTTGAGAAATTATTCTGTGTCAGCCAACTCCTTTTGGTACAGTGACTCTGTATACTCCTTCCATCTTCTTTTAATGCTTCCTATATAATTTATATTCTGTCCAAAGCATCCTGAACTACTGAAACTCAAAGCCTGAATCTGTTCTTCAATTCTTTCAGCTTAAGAAATGGTGAGAGAGTTTGATCCTTTTGTTTTTCTGACTCCAGCTCTTTTCACATTTCATATACTTTGTCTTCCTTTTGAAATCTTCTACTCAGCCCCTTAACTTCTTGATGTCTTCCCTTTGCTTTGGCTTCTCAGTGCTCTAGTGCAACATTCAGAGTCCCTTCTGACATCCAGCTTAATCTTTTTTTCCTCCTTTGTCTCTGTAATGACCTTTTGCATTCTTCATGGATGATATTCTTGATATCCTCTCATAGCTCATCTGGTCTTCACTCACTGGTGTTCAAGGCCTCAAATCTGTTGCTAAGATGGTTTTGAAATTCCAGTGGGATAGACTCAAGGTCAAATTTTGGTTCCTGTGGATTTCAACTTTAGCTTGAATTTGTATATGAGTAGTTGGTGGTCTGTTCCACAATCAGCTCCTGGCCCAGTTTTCACAGCTGATAGTGAGCTTCTCCAGCAGTTCTTTCCACAGATGTAATCTATCTGATTCCTATACATAACATGAGGTGAAATCCAGGTGTATTGCCTGCATTTGCTTAAACTAAGGAGGACCTGAAGTGCTTGCTGCAGAAGGTCAAGGATGGCACCCATAAATATGGATGGAAGCAACATTAAGTGATCAAAGATTATCACTACTGGGCCAATTGACAGCATCATGATAGATGGAGAAGAGATCAAGATTGTTAACTGCTTTAGTTTGCTTGGCTCCACAAAACACTCTTGGTACCAGCAGCCAGAAAATCAAATGACAAATTGCATCGGGAAAGTCTGCTGTCAGAGACCTCTCCAGAGTACTGAAGTGCAACGATGTCAGTCTGGAGACTGAGGTGTGCCTGATTCAGGGCATGATCTCTGCAATTAATTTCTATGTATCAGAAAGCTATACAATGCCTAGGAATGATTGAGAATTGATGCTTTTGAGCTGTGATGCTGAAGAAGAGTATTGAACATACCACGGACTTCCAGGAAAATAAATAGGTTTGTCCAAGAGATGATGAAACCAGGCTGCTCCTTGGACACAAGTATTCTGAGGCTTTATCTGACATACTACGGGCATGTTGCAAGGAGGGACCAGTCCTTGGAGAGGGACATCATGCTTGCAAGAGTAAAAGGACAGAGAAAGAGAGAAAGACCCATGATGAGATGAACAGATTCAGTGACTGGGGTAATGAGGGTAGGTGTGTCAAAGACAATAAGGTTGGTACAGGGTAGAGCAAGTTTCAGGGCTACTGTACATAGGGTTGCTATGAGTAACAAGCAGCTCAATGGTATAAAACAACAACAACAACATGACAGACCTAACTTAATCTAGAATTCTAGAAAAAAAATTTTCATATTTTTATTGGTTTGCAGATAATCATACATTGTGTTTCTTACTACAAATTGTTTTATAAAATCTTTAATTTACATTGTATTTCACTCACATACAGTGTTTTTTACAATGATTCATATACATTGTATTTTATATAATTAATCACTGTCTATGTTTATTTTCAACTCATCTTTTCAAATTTCTACTCAATCTTTCCTATTCCTTCCCCACCACCAATAACAACTTCTACTGTCCCACTGATATACCTCTTCCCCTTTTTTGGCTTCCTTTACCTTCTCCCCTTTCCCTTTTGAACATTTATGCATATGTACATCTTTCTAAGTTATTCTTCTGTTTTTACAATAATGGTGCTTTGCAGTATTTGTTCTTATGAGAATGAGTGAGTACACTCAGCATAAAGCTCTCTAGACTCTCCCATGATATACAGTATTTTACAAAATCATTGTATTCTACAATGTGAATGTGTCACAGTTTCTCAATCCATTTGTTTTAAGTAATAATGACCAAGAAAATATATACTCAAATTGGCAAGATAAGGGAACCAAAAACGTTCAGTAAAATAAAACTAGGAACCACAAAACAACAAAAACCACCCAAAAAAAAGCAGTACTTAAGGGCAAAGAGAAATAAGGCTGAGGTACATTAAAAAATTAACAAAATTACAGAAGAAAGTAACTTATTAGTAATTATAGTGAATGTAAATGGATTGAATGATCTAAGCATGGCAGAACAAAAACAAAAAACCCTTAAGAAGAATTACTGCCTTTGAATTGTGTTATAGAATATCCCATGGACTGATTAAGGAACAAACAAATCTATTTTTGAGGAAGTGTAACTAACGTGCTGTTTAGAGTCAAGGATGGCAAAACTTCATCATATTTTAGACATGTTTTCAGAAAGTACCAGTCCTTGGAAAAAGACATCATGCTGGGAAAGGTGGAGGGTTAGCAAAATAAATGAAGATCCTCAACAAGGTGGACTGACAGAGTGAGTTTAGTAATGGGCTCAAGCATATCAGAGATAGCAAGGATGGCACGGAAAAGGACAGGGTTTTAGAATGCTGTTCATTAAGCCACTCTGAGTCACAGCCAACTCAATAGTACCTAACAACAATGTCATCATTATCAAGACACCTAAATATATAATACAAAGACTGAAGGTTAAAAGAGATAGCACTAAAATAATAATTGAATTTTCAATGTATAATTTTCATTACTAGATATCATATCCAAAAAGATTAATAAGGAAAGAGAGAACTTAAATAATAGTATAAAACAACTAGGTTTAACAGACATATCTGAACACTCTATCCCAAAATATACATTCTACCCCAATACAAGTAGATTGCAATACACATGGATACATCAGGTTAAAGTACATTTTAGGATACAAAGTAAATCTTGAAAATTTTAAAAATATTTATATCATACAAAGTATCTTCTTCTAACTGAAAGTTAGAAATGAGAAGTAGGAATAAACAAAATATTTTAAAAAGTTAAAAATATTCAAGCACATGGAAATTAAAGAACATATTTTAAACTCCAACGGTAGAAGGAAGAATCACAAGAAAATTCACACATTTCCTAGAGCCAAATGAAATTTAAAGCAAGATAAAGCAGCACTTAAAGCAAACTTAGAGTAATGAATGCTTACATGGAAAAAAAGACATTCTCAAGGCAACAGCCAAAGCTAACAAATCCAGGAACTAGAAAGAGAAGGGTAAACTAAACTCAAACCTACCAAAAAAAAAGGAAAGAAACACTGCGATTAGAGCAGATTATAAGCAAAACAGGAAAACAATAGAAAGAATAAATACAATCAGAAGTTTGGATTTTTAAAAACTGAATAACATAATTCACTGTTATTGAGTTAGAACCAACCAAGAGCTGACCCTCAATCAGATTTTTCTGTAAACTGTACAGGAGGAAACGGCCCATCTTTCTCCTACAGAGAAGGTGGCAGATTCAAACCGCCTGCCTCCGGGTTGCAGCTTTACTCACTAGGCCACCAAAACTCCCCTGTTGGAGTTTTAGAAACATCAGTAAAATTGACAAACTTTACCTAGAATGACACTGAAGAGAAAAGATCTTTTGAAATAAATGACTTATGTAAACTGTTGCTTTACCTTTAGGACATCTCTATATGACCGAATAGCTGAGATTTTCTGGTTTTTATCATCTTCGTCTTCCATCCCTTCTTCTGCAGCCTCATAGCCTTCATCATTGCTGCCATCTGCTTCTACTGTATTTGCCATAAGATCAATGAGCTTCTCTAGAGGCGGACTTAGTTCTCTTTCTTCATTCTCTTTCAAGCCATAGTCCAATGCTTTGTAAATAATAATTCCCAAGGACTCAATTACCTAGAAACATGGGGGAGGGGAGAGAAATTAATAGATATAACTAAGTTCTATAGAACTAACTCTAAGGCATAAAATAATTTTTATAATATTTAAACTAGGTCTGAGACTGCTGAGTATCCCATGGGCTGTGAAAAGAACAAATATATCTTGGAGGAAGTACAACCAGGGTACTCTTTAGAGACAAGGATGGTGAAACTTCATCTCAAATACTTTAAACCTGTTGTCACAAGGGGGTCAGTCTTTGGAAAAAGACATGCTAGGGAAAGTAGGAGTTCAGAGAAAGAGAAGAACACCCTCAACAGGATACTGACACAGTGAGTGTAACAATGGGCTGGAGCATATGAGAGATGGTGAGGGTGACACAGGATAGAGTAAGGTTCAGATCTGTTATTCACAGGTTCACTATGAGTCATAGATAACTCAATGGCATCTAATAACAGCAATTCCATCATAGAAACTTGTGACGAATTAGAGTTGAAAACATATTTAAAAGTTTCTATTGTACTTTGAAAAGTAACTCACATGGAAAGTGTTACATGATTTCCTTAAACTGGTACCTAACACATATTTACATCCTTTTTTATCATTTTTATGTTTTCTTAGGTTGGTACAATATGCTGAAATACACAATTCCTATCCATATGGGGAGGAAGGTAATAACCCAGATGTTTTTCCATATTTCTAAAACATACTCTTTTTAAAAGTTACAGTTGGTAATGTAGCTCTTCCAAAAATATATGCCAATGTTTATCTAATTAAGAGTTCAGGTGACCTAGTGTGTAAGGAGTTGTGTCGCCAACTCAAATGCAGGAAGTTCAAGTCTACCAGTGGTCAAAGAAGGACAATCTTCTCCTGTACAATTTACAGCCTCTACACTCACTGGGGAATCAGCTTCAACTTAAAGGAAATGAGAGATGAGAAAAGAAATTGTTCAGAAACATTAGCTATCCACTAATACTTATACCAATGTTCACCTAATTAGGCATTGTACAGATGTCCAAAAAATCTAAGACTGAAAATTTCATTATTGGTAGCAATTCATTTAAGCCTAAGAAAATACATATATATTCTAATCCATATACACATGTTTCATTGAATTTAAAACTTCTTTGTATACAGCTAGAAATAAAGTAATAATTAAGCCACATAATTAAAGGGAATTTTCTAATAAACTGTGTCTGCTTTTTCTTTTTTTAAGTAATGTGTTAAAAAGTGATCTCTGATCCTGAAAATTCTACAACCAGGAGAGGATAAAATAGATGAATGGGAGCTTCTAAGAATCAAATCCCTATGCACTTCTAAAAACTTCTCCAACAGAGTGAAAAGGAAGACCACAGTGTGGGGAAAAATATTTGGTAATGACATGTCAGATAAGGGACTTATATCTAGAATTTATAAAATACTTGAGCACTACAACAAGATAAAGGTAAATAACCCAATTGAAAAATGGGCACAGGATATGAAGAGATACTTCACCAAAAAGAAATTCAGATGGCCAACAAATAAATGAAGAAATGCTCAAAATCCCTAGATCTTAGAGAGATGCAAATCAAAACAACTATGAGATATCATCTCACCCCAGTCAGAATAGCAAAATTTAACAGAGCAGCAAACAACAATTGCTGGCGAGGTTGTGGAGAAATGGGAACCCTTATTCACTGTTGGTGGCAGTGTAAAATGGTGCAACCACTATGGAAGGCTGTAGGGCGCTTTCTCAAAAAGTTGCAAATAGAAATACCATTTGACCCAGCAATTCCACTACTGGGAATATACCCTAAAGAAACCATAACTGCCACCCAGGCAGATGTATGCACACCTATGTTATTGTGGCTTTGTTCACAATAGCAAAGAGTTGGAAACAACCTAAGTGCCCATCAACAAATAAATGGATAGAGAAGCTCTGGTATAGTCACACAATGGAATATTATGCAGCATTGAAAAACAAGGAACTCATGCAATATTATTCAAAATGGGAGACTCTGGAGAACATTATGCTGAGTGAAATATCTCAGTCACAAAAGGACAAATACTGCATAGTGCTACTGTTGTAGAACGGGACTGACATCAGGGTTGGGTTAAGACTGAAAAAGTGGATAAATTATGTATACTGCATTGAAACAGATGTGGGAGAGAACAGTTTAAAAGCAATATATGTTTATGACAAGAGTCTAGAATGAAGGTTGTATAGTGGGGGTACCATGTTCTGCTGAGGACCTTGCCTCTTATTGGGTGCCTTTGCCTGGCATATGTCATGGCCACATTTGGAGAGTATAACCTCTACAAGTGTGCAATTCTTGGGCATTTCAGGTCAGTGGTAAGGATCACGTCACACTAGCCCTATCTGACTAGCTACTAAGTTACAACCACCTCCTAAAATGGCAGACACATCTATCCTAGCCAGGCCAATTAGGAGAGAAATCATAGTGAGCTTCCATTCAATCATTCATAGAAAATTTATTTTAAAATATTAATTACAATGTATTCATAAATTATTTCTTACCATGTATAATCAGGCCTTTACTGTATATAGCCTTTCCCTTAACTCATCTATTAATTTTTACTTCCCTCTCCTTCCCTACTCATCCTTGTTAACTTTCCAAGCCTGATTCTGTCTGTGTATAAAACCTCCTTTTGTGGAAAAGGAAACTACAAAACGCTCCTACACTCAATCACTTAGCTGCTGCTGAGAACTCAGCTGCCTCCCCCTCGAGCCCTCTTGCTTCCTGACACTCGTTTGCTCTGCACGCCTTCTCCCGACACTACCTTCTGCAGGCTGTTTCCACTGAGGAAAAGGAATCATATCATACGTCCGCTATCCAGAACCTCCACTCTTTCTACCCCTTTGCTGATACAAGTAAGGGTGGTGACCTGCTTCCCACTGGGACTGAGGATTATATCCATATAAGAATTCAACAAGAAATGGCAGGAAGACCCTTACAAATATCCAAGAGATCACTGATGATTAAAATAAAAAGAAACTAGTGAAGGCATTTAAGAAGTTTACCTGAAATGGTACTGCAATTCAGCACCCAGAATATGGAGAAGTAATTCAGCTACAGGGTGACCAATGCAAGAACATATGCCAGTTCCTTGTAGAGACTGGACTGGCTAAGGACGGTCAGCTGAAGGTTCATGGGTTTTAAGTGCTTGTGGCTCACTGAAGCTTAAGTGAGGATTTCCTTGCAATGAGTAGAAATTTTCCCTTCTGTCCCTTGTCACAAGTTTAAAACTTCACAGCTTGTATAATGTAACCATTTGGGGTCCACTTTTAACTTGGACTAGTGTAACACTTTCATGCAATAAACTGAAAAGAGCCATTTTAAAAAAAAACAACAACAACACTCCTACAAAAAAATGCAAAAGACCTATATAAATGGAATAGCATACAATGTTCATAGATTGGAAGACTTAACATTTTTAAAATGGTATACTACCAAAAGCAATCTACAAATATAATGCAATCCTCATCCATATCTGATGATCTTTTTCCCCCCCAAAGAGATTGAAAATAAAGAAATCCAAGATAAGTACAGCACTACTAAAGACTAACGTGTGCCTGATCCAGGCCATGGTCTTCACAATTACTTGTTATGCATCAAAGAGCTGGACAATGAATAAGAATAACAGAACTGTTTTGGAGATGATGAAATCAAGTTTCTCCTTGGAGGTTAGGATTTTGAAGCTCCCTCGCACATACTTTGGGCACGTGGCCAGGAAAGATTCATCTTTGGAGAAGGACATCATGCACAGAAGGGTGGAAGGAAAATGCAGGCGAGGAAGACCCTGGATGAGACGAAGTGATACAGTAACTAGGGTAATGAGGGTAAATATGTCAGAGGCAATGAGACTTGGATCAGGGGAGGGCAGGTTTCAGAGCTGTTGCACACGGGGTTGCTATAAATAGCAGGAAACTCGACAGAACATAACAACAACAAAGAAGAAAACCAAATTTATTGCTGTTGTTTGCCATAAAGTAGACTATGACACACAGTGACCCTTTGCACAATAGATCTGAACTCTTCCTATCCTGTGCCATCCTCATCATCTCAAACACACTTGAGTACATTATTAAGTCATTGCATCAATCCATCATATTGAACATCTTTCTCTCTTAAGCTAACTGGTCCCTTCTAACAATATGTTCAAAATATGTGAGATGAAGTTTCGCCCTCCTTGCCTCCAGGAAGCACCCTGGTTTCATTTTCTCCAGGACAGATCTGTGTGTTCTTCTAGCAATTCATGAGATATTCACTACTCGTGTCCAACACCACAGGTAAAAGACATTAATTTTTCAGCTCAGGAGGGGTAGACCCTCTATGAGGTGGATTGATTCAGTGACTGGGGTAATAAGGATGGGTGTGTCAGAGGCAGTACAACTGGCACAGGATAGAGCAGGGTTTAGGGCTGTTGTACATATAGGGTCACTACGAGTCACAAGCGCCTCGACGGTACATAACAACAACAACATCCTTAAGTGATTTTCCAACTTTCAGATGTATAACAAGCAACTGAGAAGACCACAGCTTAGATCAGCTGCACCTTAGTCTTTAAAAGGATATCTTTGATATTTAGTACTCTAATAGCAGATTTTCCTAATGCAACTTGTCTTTTGATTTCTTGACTGCTAGTGTCAAGAGTATTGACTGTGGACTTACATAAGATGAAATTGTTAACAACTTTGATCTTTTCTCCTTCTACCACAATGTGGCCTATAGTCTGGTAGTATAATCCATATTGAATGCCGGTGGTAGCCCTTAATCTCCTGCAGCAAGGGCTTCAAGTCTTCCTTACTTTCAGTGAGCCTGGTAATGTCATCTCTCTATCACAGGTTGTTGATGAGTTTTTCTCCTATCCTGATGTTACATTCTTCATAAAGTCCAGCTTCTCAAATGATCTCTTCTGCAAGGATATATCTCTGATACAGACCTTTCTTGATCTTGACCCATGCAATGTTTCCTCGCTCTGTCTGGATAACAGTTTCTAGGTTTCACAGGTACAAT